AGAGACAAGAAAAAATGTTCTGTAGAATTTCTAGGACACCCTATTTTTGATAATCAGTGTGATAGTTCTCAGATGGCAGTATGGTGGCACCATTAAAAAGATTTATATTGTTCCATAATGATGCTTTGGGGAGATCCCCCGACATATTATGTCTACCATGGATATCACTCTGGGATAAATACAAATACATCTACATCATGCCAGATAAAAAGAACGACAACTTAAAAATACATGTAAAATACATGCTAGAACTTAGCCTAACCACAACTGCTTTTTTGATAAAATTCTATGAAATCTGAAACAAAATTTCTGGCTCAGTCTGTCTGTATTCGTGGCTCGATGAATTCAACTTGCAGGAAAATCGTCAGTAATGAAACAAAGGGAAGAACTCTTTGATTCCTGTGCAGGCAGTTTCACGAAGGACTAACCTGAACGGCAAGGATTCGTTAGAGGGTGCAGTCAGCTGTGGCTGTCCAATTAGGTTCTGCTAATTAATGCCGACTGCCTCGGGCCCAGAAGGGGCTGGTCTGTAGGGCCGTTACTTCTACACTGTTGGGCAGAATTGAAATGGGTTTTCCCAGCTGGAGCCGGCTGGGGTTAGGCAGAGGGAAAAAAACTGTTTCTGGTTTCAGTCCTGAAAAAAAATTGAGTCTGATTTCATTCCTGAAAAAATTAGGGTCGGTTAAGGTAAGGATTGTATTTTTTTGTTCAGGTTTCGCCTGAAGTGATGCCAATAAATACAGTTTAGCAGAAATTTAGTACTGGAATTCATCAGGGATAGCATTGTCGATCAGGTTTTGTCCCTTATTAGGCCCTCCGATTTCTTGTGGAGATGGGACAAATATTTCACATGATTTACTCAATAAAAATTTGTGTCTGAAAATGCGTGAAATAATGTTTGAAGGGTTTAAAATTCAGACGTCAGATTGAAAATTTTATGTCCCTGCCAGCTTTTGACCAAAAAAAGGCTACTTGGGGCAACAGGTTTTTCTAGGGTCTGTCGGTAAATCAGAAACATAACATTTTTTGTCAGCCTTAGGCCACACCAATTTAATTTCTTGGTTAACGCTTCATTTTTTTATGATTTGCAAAAAAAAAAAAACCAGAATCAACTGCAAAATGCTCATATTTAAAAAAAAAAACAGAATCAACTGCAAAATGCTCATATTTTGCCCTGAACAGTTGAAAACAGTCCTTTTCTTCCTACATTTAGTTGTTACAGTTACAATGTATTCAATCTTTCAATGCAGTGGAACATTTTTGTATCATTTAAAGTTCAAAATTCATTGTTTAAATTTTGAACCATCCTGATGTGTTGAGTTCATGGCTCCTATCGTACCATTTTGGGCCATAATGGAATGCCTAGGCCTGTTTTTTTTTCACCCGCCCGCTCCATTATTTTTCTAGAAAAATCCGTTAACCAAGAAATTGAATTGGTGTGGCCTTACCAACCTTGAAGCTGTACATATGTGACTGATGGTGCATAAAGCAGATACCTTTGCTTTAGGCTGTTACTGTGGTGTATGATTTTATGTTATTCTTATCGCAGTTAGAACATTTTCATTATGCAAACTTAATGAGCTGTATTTCACACCTATTGACTGTGTCATAAACCAAAGTCTGCCAGACTGTGGTCTGCATATCACCATTAGCAATACGGCAATTCAAAAGCAACATTTGTGAAGAAGATCACTGAAAATTCTGGTCCACATGTATGAGCATGGTTTTTAAATGGTCGTAGTTGGAAAATTAGAATAATGTGGCCTAAAGGAGCATTAGCTACTGCAAGTTTGCCTTCATTTTACATGTAGATCCTGTAATGAAATGTACTTCTGTGCTTATAATATATGTTTTATTTGGTTTACTCCCTTCTGTAGCTACAGTGTACAAGCGTGTACAAGTACATGTACCTCTAGATCTGTTGCTTTCCTTTCTTTCTTTCTTTATTTCTATATATATATTGTATGTTCTACTTTCAAAGTGTCAAGGGTTTGACTGTACACAATTTATATAGTTTTAGTATCCATCTGTAATGTGATGCAAAAAAAGATCACTGAAATTATTAGGACTTCCAGCCAACACACACACACTGACACACGCACTCACCATTAAAAGCAAATTTTCTCTAATACGGGCACAACCAAAGGTCCTTATCAAAGGTTAAAAGGCTTTACAGACTTTGATGTATTTTCCTTTGATCGCCGTAATGGTTATAATGTATGCAATTTAATATGCATGGGGGAGGGCTTGATGCCGGCAGGTGGTGACGCAACAGGCAGCGACTCAAAGGCCGACAAATCCGGGGCACAGAAAGCCGGCGACCTGCCACACTAGCAGGTGCTAACGAGCGGCTCTCCGTGCCCCCCGGTCACGGCAAATGCAGCCGGCTGACCCGGGAGCTGCCCTCTGCCGCGTCAGTTGGCACGTTGTGCGGACGGCTCGCATTAGGGAGTCTGTAACGTGTTGTTCATGTGTCTGTCCTCCCAACTGTTAGGAGCTGCCGGGAGGTTACGGGAGAGTCAAGCCGGATATCGTCACCTATGGCTCCGGGGTCAGAGGATCCGGGCTCAAGTACGTATACACATTTGTATCCATCAGCTCAAGTCAGATATAACATGTTCACAAGGGCACTGCAGAACTGCTCCCTCCCCCAATATTCTCAGTCTTTGAATGAAAGTTTTTTTTGTTCTTACCATAATTTTCCAGTAGATATACATGTATGTATATATATTGCAATGCTGAATGTGTGGAATTTACAGTACAGTAGGGTGGATTTCACAAGAAAGCATGTAGCAATATACTCATATTGTTGTAAATGTACACCGGCTATACAGATACAGAAATACATGTACATGTATACCAGGAATCAGATGTCAGAACAGAATTGTCCCCATTTGCAATACCAGGTTTTCAAGCTTCAATTTGATCTGCAGGACATTGACTCCCTTGTGTCCCTCCATAGCCAATCCCTTTTTGAAGGCAGTTTGTCACGTTGAATGCAGATTTTCCATAGTACAAGTAGTCCTTGAGCAAACATGTTGAAAGAAGCAACCCAACATGACATTATTAGTAGAATGGTAGGTTGGTATAAAGGTATACTATAGGGATACAACTGTTTACATTTGCACTGGGAAAACTTCTAAGCAAAATGTCGTAGAAAGGTTTTCTCATTTTATGAGCAAACATCTCCTTACAGTGAATTTACATGCATATGGATGGAGATTCCCAGTAGAGCGAGGCTTGCCCTCTACTAAATTTTGTTGATCGTGACATTCTAACTGTTCTGGCAGATACAGTCGCTGTATTTGTTGGGGGGGGGAGGTAAAATGCAGCTTACCACTGACATTTTGCCTGGTGTATAAAAGGGATTGGGAAGCTAAGAAGCTAAGACATATTGACTCAGCAATATTTGTATTCTTAGCAACTACAGATATTACATGGCATGTGAGTGTACATGCACATATATCAAAATGGAAGTATCCAAACATTTTATTTATAATATTCAATCATCCTAAAAGAATGAATTAGAATTATGCTGTATACTTAAAAGAAATAAAATACTAGTAAGTGTGAATGTGATTCAACCCCAGCAATCTACAGAAAATTTTGTGATTGCAAAAAATATGAACAACTAAGTCTTTCAATTTAGCATCTTAAGGTAAAAAAAAAAGAATAGGGGCCGAGCAGTCTTACATTTCGTATTGCAGTATTTTAGAAGAGACAAGAAATTGATCTCGCATTGTCATGTCCATTTATGTTGCAGACACAGGGAAAACCATACATGTATGTTTTCCCATTTTTTTATACTCGCGGAAACCAGCAGAAGAAATCTGCCCACACAACATGTGCAGGGATAAGCTGGGATTGGCTTTAGCCTCTTACACAGAGAGCAGACAGCTATGGGACCTACTTGGAGAAAGCTACGTCCCACGGATAGACCCAGCAGCTACATGTAGATGTGGACTATCCAAATCCTGTTTGTGGTTTAGCATGGATTAGCGATGGCCCAGTGGGGGGCAAGGCTAATTAGTGGGGAACGTTGAAATACCTCGTTACTGCCTGTGTAGCACTCATGCTCCAAATGGTGGCCTTAGGCCCGGTTTACATAGCCTCCACCAGGCCTTTCTACGGGAATACGGATCATAGAATTTTGACAAAAAGAGTAAAATTGGCCAAGGGAGTCGGCCGCAGAGGTATCTTCTTTCCCTCCTGCGCGGCCTGTCAAACCTACAAGGCGGCTAAACTCCCCTGGCAAATATTCTCCTATATATAGCCAGCGTAGTTAGTCTGGTAGAGACTACGGTTTACACTGGGCAAAATAAATCTGTCGAGCGTTGTGTACGACGTGTGAAAACAGGTCCGCCGTGTGTCGTTTTTTCTGTAGTGCATCCAGGAGGTGCCACAAGTGCGTCGCCACACTCAATAGGGAGTCTGCATCACAACCCAGCAGCGTCGCGTGCAGCCCTTTTCTGCATCGCAGTAGGTCAGGGGTTATATGCAAATGTCTCCTCTCCCGCTCTAGCCCAAACCCACGCCACGCTCGTCCATTTGTATCTGAGTATCCTTACATTTCAAGTTCTCTCCTTGCTGTTTCTTGGGATTTTTTGGTACTGACTGTTTGCTAAGCATGGCGGATGTAAACAGCAGTAACTGGAGCAGCCCTGAAACGCAATGTTTTATCGGCGTGTAGAATTGCGGTAAAATTCGCCTGACAGATTTAGTAAGGCCCGGTTTACACGGATTTAATCAATATTGGTTCTCAGATCCACCATCTTCATTTTCTTCTCATTTCCAAAAAACAAAGATATTCAGCTTCCAACTAAAATCCAAAATGCTTTACTGTATTTTTACCCCAACAGTTGAAAGCCCTTGTCTTCCTAGTTGCCTGTTTTTCCATCTACCGGTATCACTGCAGTGATTAGATCAGAAAGCCAAGGATTGCATACTTCCTGTTGTTTTTATTTTAACCTTTAGCACACTGAAGTAGCAATTTGGCTACCAATTCTCTTTTGGTTGTTGGGTTAGGTAGCAGGGTTCAGGTTAAAAACAGAGGAGGCAAACAATGTTGATGAATGACTGCAAGCTCCATCATACAGTACATGTACATGTAGGACACCTAAGCATGCATATACCATACTTTGCACTTGAAAGGTTTGCCCCAACAGCTCCAACATATTGAAAAGGTGTCTGTGTCACAGTGAAATAGTGCCTGATTTATTGCAGTCCTCTAAAAACGTCCAAAAGCCTGTTCTATAGGTTAATGCGCACTTCCATCTAAGCCCCAAGGGTTTGTGGGTAGAGGTCAAAGGTCACCCTTTACTGTTTTGCCTGACCCCATTTTATCTTTGACAGTTTCCTCACTAAATTTTTGAGAGTAGCTTAGTCGAAATCAGTCTTATGATAATGATAATTATACACCAGTAAATGAATAAAAATCATCTATTTATATTTTTTGGATTTTCTATTCGAAAGAAGAGGCTAGGAGGAAGACAAAGTTGTTTGAAGCACGTTCTAATGGGGGGAGGGGGGAGGAATACAGAGTTCACACGCTTTTCTTGCATGAGGAGGTTTGACAGGAAGACGGATGCCGTGCAAGTGTCCTCATGACCTCTTCATAAGTGGGGGGGTTGAAAACATTGGATTTAGGATCCCCGTAGATCAGCTGCTCTTTCAAAGAGATAAGCCCGGTAATCCTCCCGGGCAGTTGGATATGTAAGGAGAAGTCTCAATCTAATGCGCGAATGTGTAGATGTTAATAGATGCAGTCAATGGGTAGGTGGTCTTTGACGTACTGCTCTGACTTGACAGGGAGACCTCTCTGTAAATGAAGTGGATGGTTATTAGGTTGGCGACAGTGAGTGGATTTGATGTTGTCAGGTTTGCTGTAATACATGTATTTCTAGTCTAGTGGTTGTTTGGTATCTTATCGTCTATGTATCTTACTATAAACGAGATCCAAACAGTTCGATTACTTCTGCTGAGCCAGGTTTATTAATCTGTATGTTAACTCTACTACACAGTATATGGTCTAATGGTTCACAGGGAGTTTAGCACTTAGTTACACAGAGAGTTACCAATAGTCTAGGGTTACACAGATGAGGTACTAACAGTTATACAATACTAATCTACAGAGCTACAACTATACAGGTACCTTAGATCTGAGGTCTCGACTGACTAACAGAACGATTGTCACTTCCAAGCTCAACTATGCTAACAATAGTCCATCACCTGATTGGTTACTCTCACTAACCAATCAGTGCTTACCTAACGCGCTAATATATGCATATCTCTCCATAACATGTATTACCATATGGTCACTTCCAGATTACCATAATTACACAAGTCATAACCGTTACATTGTGTTTCTCTGTTATTTTGACATGCTTTTTTGTTTTTAGAAAGGGGGAGATCGACATTATGATTTGGGTAGAGTTTGTATAGATAATTGTCTGTACACACTGACAGAATACATCAGCAACAGTAAATGCTGTATATTATACTAGAAAGTAGTAGTAGACACCACTAGTTGATACAGGTGACTTATTAAAGTGAGAAAACTAGCCTGGATAGAGAGCAGGGCTGGAAATACCACAATGCAGGTTAGTTCAAGTAAAACCGGGGTTTTGCAGTTGTACTACTTGGATAGTGCTGTGTACCGGTTCGCTGGACCGGTTCCGGACTTGTAAAAATGTTTAGGTTCAAATAAAAAAAAACTAAAAGTCAAGAACCGAATCTGGACTAATTACCAAAAAAAAAACCAAGTCACATACCCCTTTTCTTTCCAAACGACCAAAAACCTGCCATAGATTGCATAATCTGTGCTGCAAAATGAAGAAAACATTGCCATCGGGCATCTTCAAGTACCGGCCTCCATGTTATGCGGCCACAGTTTTGCCCTAACAACAAGATTGCCAACATGCAATTTTGTATATGCCATGGGTTAAGGTCCGGACTTACAAGTCTGGAACTGAACCTAAACCTCTGGACTTGAATCCGGACATGGACCTTAATGTGGGTTTAGGTACACAGCACTATAGTACTTGGGATATATGCAAGGAAGAAAGGAGTATGTGCTTTGGTCATACATGTTGGCATTGAACATGAACAAGGCATTGACTGCAGCAAGGCTAAGAGCAAATAATTCACAATAATCATGAAATCACAGCCAGCGAGTGGTAGGCATAAAGCGAGTGATTTTCCTACAGATAATTTGCATAAACCTTCAAATAATTTGCATGTACATGACAAGTAATTTGCATGTACATGACAGCAATCAGTTGTACTCCCAGACTCTAGTCCACAGGGCTTAACCAGTTAACCAAGGGCATCTGTGGGAGGAGTTTGTGAGAGCAAGTCTGGATTTGGCTGTGATCCAGCGGTCCGATCCTACGTCCCCTGGGACTGCACAGGGCATGAACACAGATGTGTGCCACTATGAGTGGCTCTCAGTTTATAAACTTTGTGAGTTTTTCAATGTGACAGTGGATGACCAAATGGCATGGCTGACAATGAGTAAAGAAGGCTGTTATTACCTTTGCCAAGAAGGTTATGTTTTCAGAGGCGTTCGTGTATGTGTGTGTGTGTGTGTGTGTGTGTGTGTGTGTGTGTGTGTGTCCGTCACGGGACACGATAACTTGAGTGTCTTGATACTTGGTAGGTGTAGGTCTTGATGAGACCTGGAAATGATTAGATTTTGGACCCCCTAGCGGCTTGTTACGGTACTGCAACGGAACTTCCGGTTTTGATATCTCATGATCTAGACATGCTAGGGTGACGAAATTTGGATGGTAGGTAGCTCTTTTGCTGGAGAAGAAGTGACGTGAGTTTTGGCCCCCCTGAATTGCACGGCTCTGTATTGTGATGAAGACTAACCTGAGATGTTCCCTATTGTATCACCTGTAGGAGTGGCTGCCGTACCCTGTCTGGCACCAGTGTGGCCTCACCTGTGGTGGCTGGTGCTGTCACCTTACTCGCCAGGTAAGCTTCCTATTCCACACTCTCCACCACTCCTTTGCAGGCTGAATAAATACTGTAATTCACTTTATGTTCAGGATAGCAAAATTTCACGGTCTGAAAAAAGGGGATATGTTCACGGAACTATATGACCCTGTTCATACCAGACTTATATTTAGCGGTTTCAACCGGTTTTTCAAAAACCCGGCTAAAACCCTTAGCGTTCATACGACTTTTGATAACCGGTTTTGTAAAAATCCTGTCCGGTGAATATCCAAATAATCGGCCATGACTGCAGTTTGAATAACCGTTCCTCTCGCTCTTCTGATTGTTTTCCTTGGCCTTCTTGCTTGTATGCCGTCTTCAGTTGTTTTTTTTTTACCTTACTGCGGCACTGATCCTTTATCTTCAAGAAATCAGCCTCCTCCAACATTTTTGTTTCGGTAGAGCCCTTGCCCCCCCTCCCCCTAGCTTTTTCGAATTCGGCGACTCCTGCTCTCCAAACCTAAGTATCAGGAGCGTCTCGTCCGCCGAACAGGTTGCCTTTACTGATTCCATCGCAAAATGAAGAAAAACCGTGGAAAAACAGTGGAAACGAATTCAAGTTGGTCAAAACAACGCGATCAAAAAAGCTTGCAGGTCGCACACGGCCAGGATGCTGACCCCGTGACCCCGGAATTATGACGCAAAAACCGGTTCAATAAACCCTTAGCGTTCAGACCAGGGTTTTCGGTGGAAAAACCCCACAAAAACCCCTCAAAAACCACCTCCCGAGGTGGTTTTTCAAAATCGGATTTAAACCCCTAAAAAACCGGTTAATTTGCGTTCACACCAGGTTAAATAAAAACCGGTTTTTGAAAAACCGGTTGAAACCGCTAAATATAAGTCTGGTATGAACAGGGTCTATATTCGCGGTGGCAACAGGTACAGGAAAAAGAAAGTCCAGGAATTATTTTTTAACACTGTAATGATAAGTACAGGGTGCAGTGAAAGCAGTTAACATAAAAGTACAGTGAAAAAATCAGGAATTACACTGTAGTAGAAATCGTCCTAAAGCCACACCAATTTAATTTGTTGTTTCTCGGATTCGCACTGTCCAGTTTTTTCTGATTTGTAAAAAAAAAAATTGTTTGGTTTTTAATCAACTGCAAAATGCTTAACGAAAGACATATTTTGGCCCCAACAGTTGAAGAAAGTCCTTTTCGTCCTAGTTCAAGTTTTTCAATGTAACAATGCAATTTTTTTTCATTTAAAGTTCAATTGTTCTAATTATATACCAGCCTAGTATGTTGACTCCATGGCTCATATTGTAACATTGCTGGCTATCATGGGGTACCTTGGCCTGGTTTTTTTTTTATTTCGCCGTCGCTTCAATTTTTTCTGAAAAAATCCCAAGAAACAACAAATTAAATTGGCGTGGCCTAAAAAGGAATATAATTGGCCAGGGGAGTTAGCTGGCCAGAGAGGGTACAATATAGCAGTCTTGAGTCTGATGGAGCCATATAGTAGTAACATCATACTGTACATGCACTTAGGCCACACCAATTTAATTTCTTGGTTAACGGATTTTTCTAGAAAAATAATGGAGTGGGCGGGCGAAAAAAAAATAGGATGAAAAGGACTGTTTTCAACTGTTCAGGGCAAAATTTGAGCATTTTGCAGTTGATTCTGAATTTTTATTTTTATTTGCAAATCAGAAAAAAATGAAGCGGGCGAATCCGTTAACCAAGAAATTAAATTGGTGTGGCCTTAGAGGTGGTTTTATTTCGCAGTAGGAGGGAAAAGTAGGTTTGCCTGGTGTTTGAAGTTCACAGTTGAAGGCATACATTTGTAGAATACCAACGTCGATGAAGGTTAGACATTTAGGTAATAAGATACACAAGAAAATTGTTACTCAAGCAACTGGATAAATTTAAAATGTCAGACGTTACAAGTAGCATCCACGTCTTGTTTGTTACTGTTGTAGCCTTGAAAACTACTTAGAGACAGTGTCAATTTATACATGTTACATAAGGTTAATCCTTGTAGTCTCAAGACTCTAATCTTAAGTGTACATCTGTGTACATGTTACCTTGGAACTGTCCTCCCTTCTTAAAGTGCCCATTTTTTTTTTTTTAACGAATTTAACGTCATTTTTCCCAACCGGGGGTTAGACGTGCTTGCACCAGGTACAAGCTTAAGTCTTTTTTTGAAGCAAGATTTTTACGGCACCAAAATATGACTTAAGCTGATTGTAATTGACATAACTAGTATTACCTGGCTAACACAGACACATTTACAATAAATATGCATGGTTCTCCTGTTACATTCGAAATTCTAATGCCCTGCCTAGGAAAAGTCAGCACAAGTTAGTCCTGGCAGGCGATTTGCATCTCTACATTTTTGTATATCCATAATTATGTTTTCCTGAGCTGATGTCACCCAGTGATGTCAGCTCAGGAAAAAGCACAGAAATTCAAAAATAAAACACAAAGATGCAAATAGAGATGCCCAAAGTGGGCGATTGGGAACCTTGCTAGAGTCTCCAAAAATTCGTTTTAAGAATTATGGCCATACACAAGCTCAGTTTCTCAGTCATCATGATTGGAACAAACTTCAAGTGACTATATTGTATGTATACTTCCGATATTTGTATGTATTTTACAGACGTTTTTGGTTTCATTTGGTCTGTGGCTCTGGCCTTCACCAATTTCATGTAGTCAAATTGAATTCGTTAATCAAACTCTGCACCTAATGATGGTTGTTACATGTAGTATATATATATTAGTTGCTTGTACAATGTTCCACCAAAATTGCTACATTCCCACCTTTCCTTCCTCTGCATTATGTAACAATTTTGCACCAAAAATTGAAATATTTTAATTAAAAAACTCTTTGTGTGATTATAATTCCATTTTTCAACAAAATTGTGCAATTATATTAATATAGCTGAAACCTATGGTTGGTGATTGAAGGACAAATATAGTAATTTCAGTTTTGGTGCCTCTCAATCCAAAATCCTATTTGAAAAAGTAGAAACCAATGGATCACCATTTGCAAATACGATTTTGGGTTGAAAGGCACAAAAACTGAAATTAGTGTATTTGTCCTTTAAACAGCTACATGTACACCAGGTGCACTTACTGTAGTTTGTGGTGCCACCACAAACTACTACCTGTAGAATGTAAACAAACATGGCTGGCAGCTGTGTTTCCAGCTTTAACACACTCGTCAGGCATCATATTTTGTCACCTCATCTTCCTGTAGGCACTTACTTGCAATAGAGTAGGGTTGATTCAGTTTTCTTTGTGAAGAAACGACCGGAAAATTGACTTTTTGTATTGTGCTAATGTTACATTATGCAGCTTTAAGTTTTCTTCTTGTTCCCCCCACTTACACGCATGACAAAGCACACCAAAACCAGCCATAATTATCCCCTACCTCTTGCCCCCTTCTCATTTTAATGGACCTGCCATTTGCTTCCATTATCTGCCTATTTGCACTACATTGACAAGTAGTGAGGCAGACTGTATGCACTGTTGCCCTAATGATTTCTCCCTTCTCCTGAATTAAAGCTGCACTTAGCGTGTTCTCCAGCGGTGGGATAACTAGGAAGGTTTCACCCTGTCCAGAAAGGCGTCTCTGTGGGCTTACTGTACATGTAGAAACTTTCACACTGGTTTTATTTTTGCAGTTTTCACTCAACTGCAAATCTGTGACAATGCAAATACATGTACATGTATGCCATCCTTAGGCCACCAATTTAATTTCTTGGTTAACGGATTTGCCCGCTTCATTTTTTTCTGATTTGCAAAAAAAAATTCAGAATCAGCTGCAAAATTCTCATATTTTGCCTTGAACAGTTGAAAACAGTCCTTTTCTTCCTAGTTGTTACAGTGGTATCATTAAAAGTTCAAAATTCGTTGTTTAACTTTAGATTTTGAACCAGCCTGGTGTGTTGACTTCATGGCTCCTATCGTACCATTTTGGGCCATAATAGGATGCCTAGGCCTGTTTTTATTTTTTCGCCCGCCCGCTCCATTATTTTTCTAGAAAAATCTGTTAACCAAGAAATTAAATTGGTGTGGCCTTATGTGACTACTGTACTATGGAATTGTTTCAACCACAAATTTAGAACACCACAAATGCCTGCCTTTCCCCTCCTACCAACATTAAATGCATTTACAGTAGTTGGGAATATTTGTAATACAACGATGTCAACTGTATTTGCCTTTGTATCACTGTTTGGTATTGACATTGTATACTCTTTCCTTGTATACGCATACATGTACTATTCTAATGAATATCACAATGCCTTAGTTCAAACTAGTATTGTTTCACCAAGTAGTGTATAATAAGCTTCTTGGTTTCACAACCTACCAAGAGCTTGATTATTGAGAAGAGTGAGGGAAAAAATGAGTGCTTGTTTCCCTTTCGTGCATAATTTGAAAATTATAAGACAGTTAAAGAAGAACTTTATTGCACGACAATTGCACATGGTACATTGTATGGCAAACTACATAAAGAAAGTAGCAAACAATAAAATAAATGTGTTGAATAAGACCTAACATATCTTAATTGCTCAAACAATAAGGGCTAGCACAAGTCTTTGATAAAGTGTTACAATCAAGTGGGCTAATTATAATCACAAGTTTCGGTATTTTTTCTAATAACAAAGCAGTCCTTTATATGTCTACCTATTTTTGCATTCTGGGAACCATTACATGTAAAGATTATATTCTAATCTGTCTCTAACATCGAGACTTTTGAAATCTGTTTTACTTGAATCGAGAGATGTAAATAGCTTGTGACGTATAACATCATATTTGGTACATTCCATAACAAAGTGAAATTCATTTTCTATAATAAGGCCACACCAATTTAATTTCTTGGTTAACGGATTCGCCCGCTTCATTTTTTCTGATTTGGAAATAAAAATAAAAATTCAGAATCAACTGCAAAATGCTCATATTTTGCCCTGAACAGTTGAAAACAGTCCTTTTCATCCTAATTGTTACAGTTTTTTCATCTTTCAATGCAATGGTATTGCAAATTCATTGTTTAAATTTTGAACCAGCCTGGTGTGTTGACTTCATAGCTCCTATCGTACCATTTTGGGCCATAATAGGATGCCTAGGCCTGTTTTTATTTTTATTTTTTTTGCCCGCCCGCTCCATTATTTTTCTAGAAAAATCCGTTAACCAAGAAATTAAATTGGTGTGGCCTAAGTATGGTTCAAAATGGAGACCTAGTACCTACACAGATGTGTGTGTGATGTTGCCCGTTCGGTGTCGTTTCAGCGCGGTGATTCATCGTATTCCCATGGTGAACCCGGCGAGCATGAAGCAGGCGCTAATGGCCTCCGCCCGCCGCCTGCCCGGAGTGAACATGTTCGAACAAGGTAACCTTTTTTTAAAATTCATACATCAAGACAACATACATACAACGCAATGAACCATCCCTTACACAATAATTCAAATCATAACAAATCACTGATCATAGTAATAACAATATTTTTTATCGTAACAAATCGTTGATCATGAAAATAATCATAATGATTCAAATCATAACAAGTCATTGATCAGAACAAAATCATAAACAATGATTCAAATCATACCAAATCGTTGATCATAGAAATAATTAACAATATTTCAATCATAACAAATAATTGATCAGAACAGTAATCATAGTAATTTAAATTATTATAACAAATCAATATTTTGTATTCTAATAATCATTGATCATAACAAAAATCATAATAATTCAAATCATGACAAATCATTTGCAAGGTAACCTTTCTACGGAGTCATAGTCTTCATATATTTGTCCAGGCACTGGTGTACATTTGCTCTGTACTTCCAAGGACATAGGAAAGTAAATTATTTGAGGGTTTCTATAGTTGCGGTCCTGAAAAAAGGGTTGGTACATGTAGGTATACAGGGATTCTCTTTTTATGGCTACACTTGTATGTACAATGTATGTATGTAGGTATGTAAAACTATGTGTTCATAGAATTTAAACATTGTTTTTGCTCTGTGTCTTCTTCCTCTTCCCTGAAGAAATACCGGGGTAAGGTCAATGATCTGGACATTACTTTTGCAGACAGCATTTTAAGGCCAGTCTGTCACATGTTCTAATGATAAGAGAGATCTGCATACAGTACTTGGGAAGAATTCCTCCCCCATACTTGACTGATGGAGCTGTGGTGGAGCGGAGGAGAAACTCTGGTGGTTTTCCACGGGCAATGTATCTAGCGCAACACGTTAGCTGGAGCTGTTGCATAGGTACATTGGTCAGTGGGAGCCCACCCCATACAGCATCTGAAGAATGGACATGTGGCGTCGGGTGGTGTAGTGGTTAGAGCAATCGACTGTGAACCGGGAGACCCAGGTTCGATTCTGAGTCGTACCCGGGACATGTCTGAACATGACGTTGTGCCCTTGGGAAAGGCACGAATTTCCTCTCTCCACCCAGGTGTGAATGGGTACCAAACTTCGGTTGGGGAAAGTCGTATTGTGGTCACCTAATGTGGCACCAAATGGCAGCCACACAGACCCTTGCGACAGTTCCACAATTGTGGATTAAATATATGTATCATTTGTAATATTTGAATGTTGTAATTGTTGTGATTTGTATTGATTATTATGTGATACCCTGCATCAATTCAGCAGTATAAAGGCTGCGACTGCACGGGTACTGTTTGGACAATAAAAAAAAAACCTTTTTAAGGCATCCAACGCAATTTCAGGGTGGCAATACATGAAATATCGTAGATGAGGAAATCTGTTTGATGTATTGACATTAATTTCCATTTCTTATCACGTTTTGCTGTCATTTTATACTTAAAGTGTTTAAAATAGCCCCAAATGAAGCTACATGTAACATCCGTGTCCATAATATCACCAGGGTCCATAATATCGCCACCTTGAGAAAAAGTGTGCTTAAAGATATTTTTACCGCAACATACCCTAGGTATGTACATTTGAGGTGTGCAGGAGTGCATACCAAAAGTATGTTGCAGTAAAAATATCTTTAAGCACATTATTTCTCAAGGTGGTGATATTATGGACCCTGGTGATATTATGGACACGGATGTTACACGAGTCCCTTAATTTTTTTAATACCACAAATACATGTAGATAGCTACAATGTAGAACCAGCCTAGGCAATCACTGAGTGTATAGGGCCTTAAATTCCACCAAATGCTCTACTATATTGTCTAGTTCCATAATATATGGTCTTTTGTAAAGATTGGTTTTAAAGAATTGTTAAGGATTAGTTTCTGTACATTGTATCTAACCCAATAGGCAGTGGAATACATGTGTTTTCTTTATCATCTGTATGCCAGCCAGAGTATTAAAAAAAATTACATTGGTGTTACTGTTGTCAGCAGTATGGCTTGATATTATTTCACAGATACATGTAAGTGCTTGATCCTCGCTATTTTGAGTTGCCTATTTCAATTAAAGTAGTGTCTAACTTTGGGTGCCGTGTCAGGAAAAGTGATTGGCTGTTGACAGGTCTGAAATGAGCTTTCATCAGTTCCCAGGTTTTGCACTGTAGAATGATCTTAGACGCTCTCTGCTTTTTTGACAGGCCATGGAAAGTTGGACCTGTTGAAGGCTTACCAGGTTCTGAACAGCTACAAGCCACAGGCGAGGTAGGTACTCAACAGTAGCCTCCGTAGCAGGCTTATAGAACTGGGGGTTTGGTGGTCTTCGGCTGTTTTCTGATTAGCCCAGTTCTAAAAACGGGGGTAATTCAACCAGGCCGGCTATGTTTTCTACATGTATATGCAATCAGAAAATAGCACATAAAAGATCCCAAAGACCCAGAAGACCCCCAAAACCCCCAATTTTGGGCATGCTATGGAGGCTAACTCAATAGCACGTTGGCAGAACATACTGTGCCTGCGCGAAACCTGTAATGTATTGTGTATGGCAGAACGTACTGTGCCTGCGCGAAACCTGTAATGTATTGTGTATGGCAGAACGTACTGTGCCTACATGAAACCTGTAATGTATTGTGTATGGCAGAACGTACTGTGCCTGCGCGAAACCTGTAATGTATTGTGTATGGCAGAACGTACTGTGCCTGCGCGAAACCTGTAATGTATTGTGTATGGCAGAACGTACTGTGCCTGCGCGAAACCTGTAATGTATTGTGTATGGCAGAACGTACTGTGCCTACATGAAACCTGTAATGTATTGTGTATAGCAGAACGTACTGTGCCTACGCGAAACCTGTAATGTATTGTGTATGGCAGAACGTACTGTGCCTACGCGAAACCTGTAATGTATTGTGTATGGCAGAACGTACTGTGCCTACGCGAAACCTGTAATGTATTGTGTATGGCAGAACGTACTACTAGTATGCCTACGCGAAACCTGTAATGTATTGTGTATGGCAGAACGTACTACTAGTATGCCTACGCGAAACCTGTAATGTATTGTGTATGGCAGAACGTACTGTGCCTACGCGAAACCTGTAATGTGTTGTGTATAGCGCCTCGGCAGAACGTCTCTATTTAAGGTCATATTCATGTATTTAAGAATGATATCCTGACTATAGTTTGTAACGGTTGTGTCGGAAAGGATATTGTCTGCAACAGGTAAAACATCAGCTTCGAGCATTTATTATCATAGCATAAACAATCCATTATAAACTGACTTTTATCTTGGATCTTATCGCTTGAATTTTAACCAGTGAATTTAATGTGTTATTTTTCCTAGTCTGAGCCCCAGCTACATTGACCTGACAGATTGTCCATACATGTGGCCATACTGCACTCAACCTATCTACTATGGAGGCATGCCCACCATCGTCAATGTAAGATCTTAACTTACATGTACTTTCCAAACACGATTCTTTTTTTGTTGCCATGAAAACATAGCATACTGCAACCAGCCATTTGACATTTACAGAAAGCTTAAAAGTTCAGGAAGGTGGCTGGTTGTAAACTCTTACATAACCTCCTCCTTTCCTAGAATACCTCCAAGGTATTACGTTTCATGTGCCCAGAACGAGCAGCAGTCATTGTAACAGTAGCAGCAATTCAACTGTGCAGTTTAGCTTGCAGTACCTGTGTAATCTGCTAGATGGCGTGATTACCAGACCACTGTCATCTAGGTAAGGACTCAGGAGATACAGAAGAAAACTGGATATAGAAGATAAAGTTTGAAAATGTATCCAGTTTGTGTAACACATTTTTTAATTGTGGTATATGTGATTTAAGTAAATTGATAACTGCTTTCACTGTTTAACAATGTTGAATTGTTCAATGCAGGTGACAATTTTGAACGGCATGGGGGTAACAGGGAGAATAGTGGACAAACCCATCTGGCAGCCATATACACCACAGAATGGAGACTACATAGAGGTTTGTGGCCAGCTAATATAAAAGCAATTAACATCCAACCAATCAGTACCAAGTTGAGTTAATGATAGCCAATCAGCACCATGAAGAGTTAGTGATAGCCAATCAGCACTATGGAGAGTTAGTGATAGCCATTCCGCACCATGGAGAGTTAGTGATAGCCAATCAGCACCATGTAGAGTTAGTAATAGCCAATCAGCGCCATGGAGAGTTAGTGATAGCCAATCAGGACCATGGAGATTTACAGTCATGCAATCAGCACCATGGAGAGTGACAGCCAATTAGGAACTTGGAGACTTGACATAGATAGTCAAAGGAGAGCTGCAATTGCTTAATTTGCACCTTCTGTAGTTAAGGATTGTAGCAACTGTCATGGTGAAATACAAAACTGCACAGAAAGCACAACAAAAGGTTGCCTTTTTTTTGCATGTTTGGGTTCCAAAGTGATTGGGCTTCACTTGATTGACAGGGTTTTGACCCAGCTTGCCCTGGCTTCAAGAATGTCATAGCCAGGAATATATGAAACATAAACATAAACCATCGTGGAATGGCAGAGTAAGTTTCATCGTACAATGGTATGAGTAATAATGCTTGCTATGATGGAAATTTTATTCCCTTTCTTAGAGTTTGAAATCTCTGATTTCTCGTTACTTCATGTGTATGAAATACTCTAAATCACTTTGTATTCGCAGTAGCAAAATTTCACAGCCTGAGAAAAAAATAGACATGTTTGCATTGGCGGCAGTTGCAGAAGAATGAAAGTCGGCAAATTATTTCTTTGCTGTAATGATAAATTTGCAGTACAGAAGTTACTGAGAAAACCAGGAATGTAAATGTGCTGCAAATCTTTCTATCCAATTTTAACATCATTTTTCCCTGAAACGGGGGTTAGACATCTTTTTGGAGCAAGATTTTTACGGCTGGATGCCCTTCCTAACGCTAACCCAAACCCTACTAGGGCCCAGGATCCCTCTAACTAATGTGCTGCGAATATAAAGTGATTTACAGTACGCTGACCTATGTGTATGTTCATTCCAGGTTGCGTTCTCTTACTCGAACGTCCTCTGGCCGTGGTCAGGCTATCTGGCCGTGTCCATCACTGCTGCCAAGAAGGCCGCCCAGTGGGATGGGATAGCACAGGGCCAGGTCACGCTCACCGTGTCCTCACCTCCGGAGGTCAGAGTTCAGACACTTTACATGTGCTTGTTTGTTTCGCATAACTGGTAAACCGCTCATAATATGTCTGAGATGTTGGTTAGCCTTAGGAATTAACATACGTACATAACAATAGATGGGTCAACTAATACTACTTGTTCTAAGGTCTAAACATTCTTTGATATATTTACCTATTTGTACACAGTCAGGCTAGGGTTATTACCTTCTTGGATGAAATTAAATTTATCTAGAGCATGAAATGAAACAAATTCTGTTGAGCAAGCAGAGAGAAGGTTGAACAGCTTTGTGTGTTTGTCGTTATATAGTGTACAATTCAAAATAAAATGTTGTTCGTCTTCAATATCATTGGGACAGACATGGTTTGTTTGTTTTTTAGGAGGGAGAAAAGGAAGAAAGAACCTCAACTGTCAAACTACCGGTTCGCGTAAAAGTAGTGCCAACTCCTCCAAGAAGGTATGTATCAAGGCCCAACCAGGTTAATGAATTTGCAAAAATTCTGTGACATTTGGGAAATGTTGTTCCCCCTTGATCACACAATGAAACTTCCTGGTCTTCCTAGTATTCATTCACACAGACAACACATTATATACATACATACATGTAGTTGACAAGTCACAAAACACATCTAAATCAATAACATATTTACAATATACATAATTTAAAAAACAAACAATCCTGTGGAACAAGTGCTGGTGTGCTACTGATGGTAGTATTTGTGCAAACCGTCCTTAAACTTAAAGACTCTCAGGGACTGTGTGAATTGCATACCAATTGGAAGGTTATTCCACACACTAACAGCCCTGTACATGAAACACTTCATCAGTGCGTTAGTTCTAGGTTTGTCTAATAGAAAAGACTGTTTAGCAGCAAAACGGGTTCTATAACTATGCAAGTTGTTCTATAACAATACTCATTCTCACTTGAGTCTAGTGAGGAAATAGGTGTTAAGTGCCTTTCCCAAAGACACAACACTGAAGCCCATCAGGGATTCAAGCCCAAAACCCTCAGACTCATGTCAACAACCCTAACCACATGACCACCTTTTCTCCAGTAAACGAGTCCTGTGGGACCAGTACCACAACCTGCGGTACCCTCCTGGTTACTTCCCCCGGGATAACCTCCGCATGAAGAACGACCCTCTGGATTGGTGAGTCACAGTACATTCATTTACTTTAATTAACTGTATATAAGATTATTCTTAAAGGCCACACCAATTTGATTTGTTGTTTCTCGGATTAGCCCTGTCCATTTTTTTCTGATTTGAAAAAAAAAAAAAAATTTTGTTCTACTGCAAAATGCTCAATGAAAGACATATTTGGCCCCGACGGTTGGAGAAAGTCCTTTTCTTCCTAGTTGTTAAAGTTTTTCAATGTAACAAAGCAACCTTGTTTCCTTAAAAGTTCAAAATTTATTGTTTTTCACTTCATGGCTAATGTATCATTTCCGGCTATCATGGTGTGCTTGGCCTGTTTTTGTTTTTTTTATTTCGCCCTGTCGCTCCATATTTTTTCTGAAAAAGCAAACAACAAATTAAAATGGTGTGGCCTAAAGAAACCAAAAATTGTGTAACCAGTCTTCCATCCTACATTGTACCAGTCTGACTTGGAGAATATTGGCTTACAATTTACTTGTTATAGTCAGTTGTCTGACATATCATATGATTTTGTTACTACAAACTGTATGTAGTTTGTTATTATGCTACTTTGCTTGAACTGTATTTCTTTCTTTCATTGTACTTTTGAAATAGGCCTGTAACAGGAACAGGCCAATCACAGAAGACCATTTTTACCTCCGGGTAGGGATGTATCCCGTGCGCGGAGGTTTTGTGGGGGAAGATGAAAATTACGTTCGCAGCCGTTTCTCACGTTTGGGTGGACGGATATGTCTGGGACTTGGTATACGTTTTGCTATTGGGCTGTAGATGGTGCACGTTGTTTTGGTTTTTTAGTATGTGTGTTTTAGTGCGTGAAAATGATGCGTTGTGACAGCGTATGGACACCCCTTGTGTGTGAAAGTGGTTTTGTCTTTTGATTTTCGGCGTGTATAAAGTGTCGCAGGCGTCGTCCACATCTGGTGAGAGGGGTATCAGGTATCGAGGAAAAATATTATCGCAGTTGTATCTCGCGTTGGGGTAGACGGGACCCATGAAAATCCAGCTCAGTATGCTGACTTCCGGGTACCGCGGGTTATTTTTATCTGGCTCGAACATCAAAAAGGGCGCATAGAAATTGTCCCGAAAAGAGTCTAATCACCCTTTTTTTTGATAGGATGTTGCTAAGTAGTCGTAGAAAAAACGTAGAAAGCAGCGAAAATCTGCCTCTTCGCTGATAAAGAAATTCTATCGCCCTGCCGGCTCGATATCGCTTATCCAATCGGAACGCAGGTCATGTGAGGTGAACCAATGAGAGCGTAGATCGCGCGCTGCTATTTACATATCAAAATGGCGCACGCATGGTTTTGTACAGCGATGTGGAGAACACGTTTTTGCCAAGTTTTTTATCCCGGAATTTTCATAGATTTGACTGATTTTTTTGGCACGCCGTGATTACGCTACAAATGACACACTAGAGGAGACAACAGATGAGTGATCATTTTACAATCGACAAGAACTTTTGATGAATGAAACAGGAATGAAATCTTGCTGATTGCGATTTGTTTTCGAAAATATTATTTTGTCTCGTGTTTGTAACATTCGTTCAGAAGGAGGTTCTAAGTTTTAACTGTAACATGAAAGATATGAACACGCTTCTGTGCATGTTTTGATGTGTTTTTTTCGTGACGTGATTTGAACTAGTGTGGGATAAGTGGGGAGGGATGGCAGCCGCGGGGGGAGGCGTAGCGGCTTGATAAATTTTCGAGAGCAAGTTCCGCGCACTGGAGTTGATTTCTCACGCGGCCGTTTGTGTAGGTGTTTGTTTACATTATCGCTGGTCGCTGAGGGTCGGGCAGCCAGATTCGCCACGGGATGCCCCCTGTCCTTTCTATTTTGGAGCTACAGTGGCCTAGGGGGGATTAGTGATTTCACAGATCATTTAGCCAATTACAAACATTTCGAAACTTTTCGAAAAAATGGTCTTCGCGTGAACACACACACCCAGACACCATTCACTAAATAAATTTAAAGAACAGTCCCAACATGCACCCAACATTCTGCAACATACATTACAATTCCCGGAGGTACAAAATCTATGATTTTCCTTGTCTAACTTGCATAGTATGGACAGAAATAGGCCAATCACAGAAGACCATTTTCTAACTTGCATAGTATGGACAGAAATAGGCCAATCACAGAAGACCATTTTCTAACTTGCATAGTATGGACAGAAATAGGCCAATCACAGAAGGCTATTTCCTTATTGAAACCCAGTATGTACAAATGTATATAAATCAGCCAATCATAAGACACCATATTGACATTAACATAATGTGACCTTGCAGGAATGGCGATCACCCTCACACCAACTTCAAGGACACATACCAGCACCTGAGGAATGCTGGGTACTATGTGGAAATACTGGGTGCTCCGCTCACGTGTTTTGATGCCAATCAATATGGTAAATATCTTGAAAGTTCGTCTGTGTTGGTAGAAGTCATTATGAAGTAAGTTTAAACTGCAATTTCTACCACAACAAATTGGACTCACCCAAATTTTCGACTGTACAACTCCAGTCTTTGTCATGGCCAGGAATGAGCAATCCACCACTTCCGTGACGTCACGCAGATAATACACGTGACTCCGTGAGCAGTGGATCATAGGTTGCAGAAAGACAACATAGGCAACAGAGACGGAGGTTGCCACAGACTTTCTGCAACCTATGATCCACAGATATATATATTTATATAAATTTATAAATTCCGCAAAATGCCAGCATGTGCTGGCTTGTCATACGTCGCTATGTACTACCACAAATTCACAATACCAGCTTTGTATTCCTGTGGTTTAGTAGCATTTTTGGGGGGGCTGGAATTCTTTTTTATTCGCCCGCACGCACTAGTTTGGGGGTCTTCTGAGTTGGTGTGGCTTTAAGAGATCTAGAGTCAGTGTTACCAACAGCAGAAGTTATATATCAATTGTGAATTTTCACTCAAAGATTTGTGTATTCATTTTCAGGAACCCTACTTATAGTCGACAGCGAAGAGGAGTTTTTCCCAGAAGAAATCTCCAAACTGAAGAGAGATATTGACAACGGGCTGTCTGTGATCGTCATTGCTGACTGGTACAACGTCTCTGTCATGAAGAAGGTCAAGTTCTATGATGAGAACACCAGGTGAGGAACAGTGCAACAGCACCACCTGTGAGAATGTAGTGGAACTGCAGCTATGTTTTGAGCAAAACTTTCATGTTGATGGGGAATCTCACCTCAAAAGATAATTGATGAATGGATTTATTAATCATTAATTAATTTTCAGGTTTAAGGCGCTGGACATTATGTTATGTAAAACAACATTGAGATGACGGAAAAAAGTTTGGGCTTTGTAGAACACTAGTTGCACATACGTGTATTATCATGAAAGTTCATCTGTGTTGGTAGTTACATGTTTAGAGTTAAAACTTTTGGTCGAACACAAAAAAGTTCTCTCACCAAGAGCTTTGGACCAGTCACTCTGGTCTTCCTCAGTAGACTGACCCAGTGAGGCTTGTCACGTGGCTTCTTTGAAGTGTGACGTCAACACTGGGTCAAAGGTATCTGATAGACAATGTCGGCCCCTATCGCGGTTCAATGAAGGGTGTTGACGTCACGCTTCAAAGAAGCCACTTGACAAGTCTCACTGGGTCAGTCTACTGACTCAGAGGAAGACCAGAGTGACTGGTCGAAAGCTCTAGGTGAGAGAACTTTTTTGTGTTGTCCAAAAGTTTTAACTTTTTGTTTACGTTTTTGCTTATGTTTGTTTGAATGTTGTCCTACAGACAGTGGTGGATGCCTGACACGGGAGGTGCGAATGTGCCGGCGCTGAATGACCTGATGTACCCGTGGAACATGGCCTTCAGCGACCAGGTGTACGAGGGAGACTTCACGCTGGGCGATCACGATAGTGAGTAACTTAAGACTATGTTGCCATGGTTTCTCATCTATTCAATCTGTATTTCTGTCATACCTGGTCTTGATCTTGATGTAGTACTGCGTAACACCCCTCAGTTGGGGTCAAACACGCAGGATAGCACGATAGGTCTGTGATAGCACGTCAGCAGAACGTACTGCACCTGCGCAAACCCTGTATTGTATTGTTCATAGCATTCGGGAGAACGCCTCATATAAGGCTGTATTTGCTTATATAAGGTTAGCATTTCGACAGTAGTTGAACTTTGTTATGTTGGAAAAGATTCTGATGCAACGTTGACCAAAAATCCAACGAAAACCGCAAAAGTCCAGGGTTCTGCGCAGGCACAGTACGTTCTGCCGATGTGTTGACTATGATTATGTTCGATATGGGTGTTCTAGACCATGCGACACATTTAGGTTATCTCACGCAGATTTCATAATGAAAGCAACTTTTTTGCTTAACTTCTTTTTTTTTTTTTTGATTTTTTTTTTTCATCAGGTTTGTGGCTACCAGTGTATGTCATCCATATAATCAAATCAAATGGCCTAAATCTGATGACTTAGGACTTTCCCAATAAGAGCTAAAATAAATTGGCAAAATCTGCAATTGCTGAAACCTTGAGCATGTTTGTTTTCTCCTCCATCCTTAGTGTATTACGCATCAGGATCCAGCATTGCAAAGTTCCCTGAGGATGGAATCATGATTACACAGACACTTAAGGACCAAGGTGAGCTTCCTCATTATTTTATATTACTTTACATTATTATTACAATGTAATACATTTGTACATGTAGCAATGGTTGGTTTTAGAGGCACCCAAATCGGGACCTCCAGTTTACATCCACAAGGGACCTCCAGTTAACATCCTATCCGAGGGACGTCCCTAACCGAAGCTAGGTACTCATTTACACCTGAGTGATGTGAGGAAAGTCATGTTAAGTGCCTTTCCAAGGGCACAAGTTTGGTGACAAGGTGGGGTTCGAACCCGCGACCTCTGGGGTGTGAGCGGAACGCGCTACCGATTGCGCCACACGACCCCAGGTCCTAAAACAGGAGTCCTGGACTGTGGTTGGCAGGGAAGGAGGCGGGCAGGGTTGTACTGTGAATAAGTTGTGTGTTGTATAAAGAGTAACGTGTGTGTTGTTAATGCCCAGGTAATGAGGTCCTAAAACAGGAGTCCCAGACTGTGGACACAGTTGACAGGGAGGGAGTCAGGCAGGGTTGTACTGTGAATAAGATGTGTGTTGTATAAAGACTAACGTGTGTGTTGTTAATGCCCAGGTAATGAGGTCCTGAAACAGGAGTCCCAGACTGTGGACACAGTTCCCATCCTGGGTCTGTACCAGATGACTGGGGAGGAGGCAGGCAGGGTTGCGCTGTACGGGGACTCCAACTGTCTGGACAACAGCCATCTACAGAAAGGTAACCCTTCTTCCTTTCTTTCCTCCAGTAAGGCCACGCCAATTTAGTTTGTTGGTTCTCGGATTTTTTCAGAGAAAATATGAAGCGACAGGGCGGAAAAAATAAAAATAAAAGCAGGTCTAGTCATCCTATTATAGCCCTAAATGCTACAATAGGAGCCATGAAGTCAACACAAAAGGCTGGGTTCATATTTAAAGGAGTACTAACCTCCAGAAGGAAGTGCTATTTTCCGATACATCATGCTGCAATGAATACATAACTAGCCGACTTTTTACATAATTTCGCTTGTACGACTTGCGCGGCGCATGTTTGTACAGTGATATTAATATCATTGTCCCCCATGCTGAACCACAATTGATACATCCGGGAATTCTGGCTTACGCAATACTCATACACTTCAGGTCAACATAAACATTTTTCGGCGAAAATGGTAGAAGACAAGCACATTAACAAGCTGATTATTGAGAAATTACTTGCTTTACTTTGCTTGACCTGTGGCTTGGATGTTATAATATCAGGATGTCGAATACAGTGAGAGCCAGTTTCATTCTGCGAGTTTTGATTTTCTCAACTTATTTGCATGTAAGTATCACTTGAACAGATAATTAGATTACGCCACTTATGGAAAGGATAACTAGATTACGCCGTTTTTTCATCGTCAATATTTTCGGCATAAATGAGGGGCGATAAGGACTTTAAGAAGGGCAATGGTTGGTAAGATACCAAAGAACACAAAACGGTACGAATTTTTCTTATCGCCCCCGAAATGAGGTCTGTAACGTAACTTTTTGTTTAAAACATAGACACCAATGGGGTAGCGTGGTGTATTCTGGGATAGTTTTGAGGGTATTTGGAGAGTTTGTCCTGGATTCGATGCGTTTTAAGACTTGCGCGCAAAATGGGCATTTAATTGTATACTGTAAAATAATACATGTATGCATTTTTCAATTCCAAAAATAAATGCCTGTCGAAATATAGCACCTCCTTCTGGAGGTTAGTACTCCTTTAATGGTCTCAAGAAAAAGTTGTACAAAAAACTGTGAATTGTGAAACATTTGTGGAGGTTTAAGGTTTGCTATTTTTGCCTGGATAGTTGACAGCTATTATCTCATCACAAAGTAGTGAGTCTACAGTTTGACAAGTTCCACCATGGTGGTAATTCACCCGGACAGAGGCCTGGTGCACCCCATCCTGTATCAGTAACTCTGCAACCCT